AGAGATGATGTAGTGCACAGGGATGTATGGTGGTTACTAGTGGTGATACGTATACCGCAATTAGTATTCATGGTGTATAGTTGTAATGTATAGTAGTGGTCACCTGTATACCATATTAATATTCATGGTGTATGGTAGTGGTGACAACATATATACATAATTAGTGGTCATGGTGTATGGTAGTAATGTATGGTAGTGGTGGTCACCTGTATACCATAATTAGTATACATGGTGTATGGTAGTAATGTATGGTAGTAGTATATATAGCGCAGGAGGTGGGCGCCTCGAACTGGTTAACTACGTTACCGATAAGGGCAAATGGTTTCAGTCTCAATAAACAAGAATTTACAGATGCCAAAGCTCTAAGGTACGGTAGTCCAGTAGAAGGTTTGCTCGTGTGTGGCTCTTCCTATGACGTCGATCACGCCATGGTGTGCAAGAAAGGGGGCTTCATATGCATGAGGCATGACGAAGTAAGCCTTACTGTAAGGGATCTCACAGCAACTATGTTGAAGGAAATCTACCGTGATGTCAGGGTAGAACCGACCCTCCTTCCATTGGACGGTGAGAATTTCCAACATAGGACTTCAAACACATCCAACGAAGCCCGTGTTGACGTCAGTGCTCGAGGATTCTGGACGCGGGGACAGCGATCCTTCTTCGACATCAGGATTTTTTATCCCGTGGCCGCATGTCATCGTAACTTAGCTCTCAATGCTGCACACAGGAGGAACGAGAACGACAAGTTAGGGCATACGGGGAGAGAATTCAGAACGTTGATCAAGGCAGCTTCACTCCTCTTAGTGTTCACAACCTCTGGTGGGATGGGACCAAGTGCAAGATGCTTCTACGCCAGACTCGCGGAGGTGCTATCCGAACAGAAGCAGCAGCCTAGAAGTTACGTTACAGCCTGGATGAGATGTCGACTGTCCTTCTCTCTCCTTAGGTCGGCTTTGCTCTGACTCAGGGGAACGAGAACATCGGCCCCAAAGCCGACAACAGTTGCAGATATTGACTATGAGGCCACAGTCACTGAATGCCGCATAGATCTGCGGCTCAACTAACTCAACACAGCTAGGGTAGCTACTTATGTATTAGGATATTTAATTTTAAGGTAATAAAATGGCGGCGAAGGTATGGCTATAAGGGGAGGATGGAGGCCATTATAAAAAACAAATGTATGGTAGTATCTGTCACCTGTACACATAATCAGTATTCATGGTGTATAGTAGTGATGATATATACACCAAATTAGTAACCATTGTAGTGTATTTAACTAACACACCTAAAAATTACCCATAGAACAGAACTAAAATAAAAATAAATCACGAACATATTAAAAAATCACAAAAAATCACAAATTTTTTTAAATTCTATCAAACTTTCACTTTCCTCACCACACGAGAATGAGAAACAATCCCAAATATATCTCACAATCTCTCATTCTCTCTCCCATACTTTCTCTTTCATTATCTACATTACACGCCTTCTACGTTGGTACTCTTCCTCTACAACACAGCTACGGTATAATGTAGTGTGTGTGTGTGTGTGTGTGTGTGTGTGTGTATGTGTGTGTGTATGTGTGTGTGTGTGTGTGTGTGTGTGTGTGTGTGTGTGTGTGTGTGTGTGTGCATGTGTGTGTGTGTGTGTGTGTGTGTGAGTGTGTGTGTGTGTGTGTATCTTAGTCTCCTCATTTAAGTTAATATTATGTGCTATCAGCCTATTATTAATTATACAGGTAAAAAAAAAGGGTAATCAAGGTGTGTTTATTTTGTATTTGTTTTAGTTTTTTAGTGTTGTTTGTGTTGCTAATGTTGTTGTTGTTGTTGTTGTTGTTCATCTTCTTGTTTTTATTCCTCTCCTTCCTACTGTTCTTGTTCTTGCCTTTATTATTTTTTTATTCTTCATTTCCTTCTTCTCTCTCTCTCTCTCTCTCTCTCTCACTATCCTCCCTCCTCTCTGCTGGCGATAATTCACTTCGTATCCCATTGTTACTTTCTTCAGCCATTACAAACTTCTTCAGGCTCCTAGCATCCTTCATTCTATAAACTCTATTGAAACACCCTTCTCCTCCTCCTCTTCTTATTCTTCTTCTTCTTCTCTCCTGCCTTTATTTTTTTTTATTCTTCATTTCCTTCTCTCTCTCTCTCTCTCTCTCTCTCTCTCTCTCTCTCTCTCTCTCTCTCTCACTAATTGGAGACACGGTACCTGAAGATGGTAGAGACTTGCCTCCTGTTTATACCTGTCCATGGTATTTCTCTGTCTGTCTGTATCTCTGTCTCTCTCTCCGTCACTCTTGTTTCACCTGTCTTATTGACCCGTCTATGAGAACAATGACTTATGATAATTTGTATAGCCTTGATTTCATCTTCTTTCCACGCTCTTATCAATGTGGGACACCTGGTAATACATACTTCACGTTCTTATTATTCTGGGACGCCTGGTAATAATACATACTTCACGCTCTTATCATTGTGGACAAGTGATACAATGTCATTCTTACGCTATCAACATTTTGAATACTAACTCCTTCGGTATCTTTTATTTCCATTCTATTTCTCAATATGTTTTTTCTATCAGTGTATAACTTAAACGTTTGTGTTATTCATTCTGTTATTCATTCTTACTTCCTGGTGATGTCTTTTTCTTGTTTTCCTTGTTCATTCTTTTTTCTTTCTTCCTTCTTCCTTCTTTCTTCTTTCTTTCTTCTTCTTTCTTCTTCCATATATAACTGCCCGAGGCACTCCCAGTCCACCCCTCTGTGAATGGACAACTAAATTTACATGTGGGGGAAGTGAAGACGGTCGTGTCCAGTGGCGGCAAGAGGACGGCCAAGGGGATGTAAAATTAAATCAAGTCTTCCGTAATCTGCTGCTTCTCTTGACCTGACCTGACCTGACGTAACCTATCCTAACCTTTACCTAACCTAACCTTTACCTAACCTAACCTAACCTCTACCTAACCTCATCGAACCTAACCTAACCTTTACCTAACCTAATCTAACCTAACCTAACATTTACCTAACCTAACCTTTACTTAACCTAATCTAACCTAACCTAACATTTACCTAACCTAACCTAACCTCTACCTAACCTAATCTAACCTAACCTAACCTTTACCTAACCTAACAAACAGAAGATAAAGTCTACTACAACAACAACAACAACAACAACAACAACAACGCCAATAACAATAACAACAACAACAACAACGGGAAAAAAATCTCTGTAAAAAAAGAATAAAAATCACCGTTTCTGTGTCGGTCATAATTACACCATAAAAATCTCTTTCATTATGGCGTCTAACTGGACTTATAAACCTATCATGACGACGGTTTTATAGCGGCCGTAAAAGATATTAGTGAGTGGTGTAGACGCGGTGGTATAGAGGTTAGAGTGTGGTAATGTTTGGTTGGGGTTGTCGACCATGTGGTAAGACGAGGGATAGCATGGTCTTGTTGCTGCTGGTGGACGAAGGTTGTGTACTGTGTGTGTGTGTGTGTGTGTGTGTGTGTGTGTGTGTGTGTGTGTGTACTGTGTGTGTGTGTGTACTGTGTGTGTGTGTACTGTGTGTGTGTGTGTGTGTGTAATGTGTGTGTGTGTATGTGTGTGTGTGTGTGTGTGTGTGTGTGTGTGTGTGTGTGTGTGTACTGTGTGTGTGTGTATGTGTGTGTGTGTGTGTGTGTGTGTGTGTGTGTGTGGTACTGTGTGTGTGTGTGTGTGTGTACTGTGTGTGTGTGTGTACTGTGTGTGTGTGTGTGTGTGTGTGTGTGTGTGTGTACTGTGTGTGTGTGTGTGTGTACTGTGTGTGTGTGTGTGTGTACTGTGTAGGTAGGGGGGTGTGTAGGTGTGTGTGGTATGGTTTTGTGCTCACCCCATTCCAAGCTATGTCTCTGCACCACACACACCTTGCTACACTAACACACACACAGTACACATATGCAGTATACACACACAGACACACACACAGTTTCTCTCTCTCTCTCTCTCTCTCTCTCTCTCGCTAATAGAGCTTCTCCTGCACTCAGTAAAAGTAGGCTGAACTAACTCACCAGAGAACACCAAAAGTCTTTATCACTCACCTCTGTTTAATGAGCTCAAGGTGTCATTAGGGTTGAGTGGTCTGTGTTGACACTTGACACACACATGTTAACCTTTGACACACATTTCTCTGTATGGTATGGCGTAAGCTTATGAGAGTCCTGTAGTCAATTACCTTAAGTGTGAACGGCTGAGTTATTTCATTCATTAGTTAAAGGGAAGGAAATGCTAGCCCTCTCCCCTTCCCTCCCTCTCTCTCCCTCACCAGCCCTCCTTCCTTCTCCCTCACCCCCTCCCTCACCCCTTCCCTCACCCTCTTGTAAAAGGTCAACGCTTATTAAATTTATGTCTCATTTACCTTCTTAGGATATGTAGACGTGAGAGGAGGAGGAGGAGGGGGAAGGAGGCACACACACACACACACACACACACACACACACACACACACACACACACACACACACACACACACACGCTCCATCACAATAAACACAACTTATTGGTGTTGAAGACGACGCAAATGAGATCTTACCTGTACCCCCACACCTGCCTCTCTCCTCTTCCTCCTCCTCCTCCTCCTCCCATCCTCTTCCTTTACCTCTTTCTCCCTTCTGTCTCCTTTTCCTATTCTTCCTGTTTCTCTTTCTCTTCACCTTCATCTTCCTCTACTTTCTATTCCGTCTCCTCTTCTTATTCGTCCTGTTCCTCTTTCTATTTCTCCTCCTTTCCCTCTTCTTCCTACTCCTCCTTCTCTTTCTCCTCCAATTCCTCTTCCTCTTCTTTCTCCTCCTCTTCCTCCACCTCCCAGTCCCTATAACTGGCAAACTGACACACACACACTGACTGGATTAACGGCTATCAGTCTATCTTACTTACCAGGTTGATGTGTAACTGTCTGACTGGTGTTTAGACTGGCAGCTCTCGATGGGGGTTTTATCATAGTTTATTTTCTCATTTCAGAATAAATTGCAGCCGAGGGAAGGAGGAGTAACTCTTCTTAACACAAACAGTAAGTTGAAGGTAGTTTGTGGATATGGTCGTTAGAGGCGATAATAGCGGTAGTTAGAATTCAATAGACTGTTGTAGTATTGGTAGTTGTGTGGTTGGTAGGTTTAGTGGTAGGTGTGTGGTTGGGAGATAGTAGTGGTAGGTGTGTGGTTCGTAGGTGGTGGTGGTAGGTGTGTGGTTGGTTGGTTGATAATAGTGGTAGGTGTGTGGTTCGTAGGTTTAGTGGTAGGTGTGTGGTTGGTTGGTTGGTAATAGTGGTAGGTGTGTGGTTGGTAGGTAACATTGGTAGTTGTATTAACGAGAAATTAGTAGAAGCTTTGATAAATGTATATATATATATATATATATATATAATATATATATATATATATATATATATATATATATATATATATATATATATATATATATATATATATATATATATATATATATATATATATATTATGTAGTAATAGTAGCAGTAGCAACATTACACTTTACATATAATTTATAAAAATACATTAAAATGTTAAAAATCTAATGGAAGGAAATTTAATCTACAATATGTATTTAATTATTTATTCTACATAATTTTTCCCTTAAATTATTCACTTGTACAAAAAAAATATATATATATACTACATACATATTGACTGTCGGAAAAAAAAACCTAAAAAAAATTCCCCACTTGTGCCTGAACCAAAATAAAATAAAAATGGTTGAATATTTGAGCCGAATATCCCCAAGGTTGAGGATATTTTTCCCCTGACCTAACGAGTAGACCCAAGTGGGGAAATTGTGATTGCAGGTAACTGTCTGTCTGCTGTGCTGTTAGTGACAGTTTGTACTGCTCCATGGTGTTGTGTGCAGGGGGAGGGTGAGAGAGGGGAGTGAAGGAGGAAGAGGAGAGAAAGGGGAGGTGTGAAAGGGAGGGGAGAGTGAGGGTGGAAGGGAAGTGGGGGAGGAGGGTGAGGAATGGAAATGAGGCAGGAGAGTGAATATTCGAGATACTATGCAATTTATACAAGGTAGTGGCGGCCGAGTGGATATAACGCTTGTCTCCCGTCCTAAGTTGTAGGGTTAGTATACAGTGTACTATATCCGCACTGCCTCTGAGACTCGCTATCATCCCCCCCCCTACAGTTACCTCCGTTGTTATGATGTATTTTCCCCCATTTAGGACATTTATATTTTTCTCTTATTATTCTTATCTAATAATAATGCTTTTACTTAACATACATTTGGCATTTGCGATGTTTTGTGTGTGTGTGAAAACTACGGCGAATGAACCTGAGTGCAATCTTCTGTTTTAGAACTTTTGCCAACAAGGTGTGTGTGGAGGGGGGGGGGAAGAGAGAGTAGAGCATCCTTACCCCGACCCACCACCTCCCTCGCTCCCACGAATCCCGACCCACCACCTCCCTCGCTCCCACGAATCCCGACCCACCACCTCCCTCGCTCCCACGAATCCCGACCCACCACCTCCCTCGCTCCCACGAATCCCGACCCACCACCTCCCTCACTCCCACGAATCCACCATTGTTTTGCTCCTGTCAGCTGGCCCAACAATAACTATAAAAAGAGAAAATCAGAAGCGATACTAAAACTGAGCGATATTCGGAACCAATAATGGACGTTGATTCATACGTAAATGTCGAGGCTGGGAAACGGCCCCCTGGTCTGGTCTGGTCTGGTCTGGTCTACTGTCCATGTTGAAGCTTCACGTGAAAATAGACATCACCTTTGTTCTCTGAGTACGGCGGCGGGAGTAGTCGGACCTGCTGAGAGAGAGAATGAGAAGAAAGAAAGAGAGAGAATGCGTATGAAACAGACAGACAGAGACAAAGAGAGCGAATGTGAAAGACAGACACAGACAGACAGATACACAGAGAGAAGCAGACAGGTAAAAAAAATAAAAATAAAACCTGTGTGTGGGAAAGAGAGAGAGAGTATAGACAAGAATAGAATGTGGAATGGGAAAAAATATATATATATATAACTACACAAATAAACCATTCCTTCACTTGGGTTTTCACTATACAAGTTTTACATCTCACCTATAACCTGCTATAGTGAACACCATATATTATACGAGTTTATATAACATTCTTCATAATCTAGTTAATAAAGAGGTTGTGTAATACTAATATAGTTTGAATTATATTATAGGGTCACAAAGGAGTTTTTTTTTTTTTTTTACAATTCTAGAAAGGATATGATGTGGAAGTAATGTTAATAGAGAAATAAAGTTTATTTATTGCCTCTATTAAAAAAGATTTATAGTACGTGAACGCTTTATAAAAAAAATTGTTCAGATACTGTCATTGATACAGATGTTTTGTACCTTGAAATACATCTAAAAAAAATAGATACGTGTGATTTTAGGTTTCAAGAACTTTAAATAGCGTTAAGACTATATTAAATCGAATAATATAATTTTAATGCCGTAACCCCTATGACAATATGTATTTTATAAAACCCTCTGTTTTTTCCCCCAATCGAGTGAAAAGGTAAATGACTTCATCCATTGGAGGTGAAAAAAATAAAAACGTCTCCTCCTCGACCCGCGCTAAAATACTCCCACAAAGAATGACAAAGTTTTTAATGCCTCCTCTCGTTCTTATCTCCTCAGTCACTCCTTTCATTCCTTTACCAGCGATGAAAAGTCTATTTGTGCGTTTTACTACAGGTGTTGGTTAAGAGCCGCTGGACTGGGTCGTGGTGAATAGAAGCGAGAGAAAGAATCAGGATGAGAGAGAGAGAGAGAGAGAGAGAGAATAGGGAGGAGATATTTGGTCATTACTAATAATTCTCTTCTCTACACACACACACACACACACACACACACGAAGGAGGAGAAGAAGATGCCGAATAAGAGAACTATCATGAGAAGGAAAGAGGAGTAAGGACCACACAGGTGACTCACTCGCCAGCTGCCTCCCAAATGTACAGGTGTTGGTGCAGCTGATCAACACCTGTGGCTCTCCTAACCCTCCCTTGTTGTTCTTCTCTTCCTTCTTCCTTTTCCTTCTTCCTCTTCCTTCTTTCTCTTCCTTTTTTCCATGTCCTCTTCTCATTCTTCCTTCTCTTATCTGTTCCCCTCTTACTCGTTGTAGCTCCTCCTCGTCTTCTTCCTCCTCCTCCTCCTCCTCCTCCTCCTCCTCCTCTTTCTCCTCCACATCCCTCACTTCCTCCTCTTTTTTCCTCCTTTTCATCTTCTTTCTCCTCCTCATCCTCATCCCTCTCTTCCTCCTCTTTTTCCTCCCTCTTCCTCTTTCTCTTCCTCGTCCTCTTTTCCTTCCTCGTCTTCCTCCTCCTCGTCTTCCTCCTCCTCCTCCTCCTCTTTTCCTTCCTCCTCCTCCTCCTCCTTACCTCTGTGTGTCAACCTCCGCCACCCTTCTCATGTTTCAAGAATGGGGGATTTAAATGACCTAGGACTCTCACTCTTCCCAGATAATATATCTCTCAAAAACTCACAGTAATCAACGAATCAACTCTAAATCAACCCATATCCATCCACTTTGCTTGTATATTCTTGCCAATATCTTCAGCCTACAGGTAGAAAGAAAAACAAAATATTTACCGCAGCCACATGAGAGGAAGCTTCTTTGATTAATATGTAAAGCTTGTTTGAAAGTTGATGGGAGATTGGATGGCTGTAGGGGGAGAGATATGAGATGATTAGGGGGGGTGGAAGGGGAGAGGAGGAGTATTGGGAGTAGTGGGAAAGACAGACAGGAGGAAGACAAAAGAAAATAGATTAGAAGTTAGGTTAGTGTTAGGTTAGGTTAAGTTAGATTAGAACAGGTTAGCATTAGGGTGGTTAATCCTTAAGTGATCCATCCTTGCTGCTTAACCTGGAGTAAACAGACAATGGCTCTCCCATAAACATTCTATGTGTGTTTCAGATAAAAAAATTAAAATAAAAAAACAAGAAAAAAGATCTAAACATTATTTGGAATATTTTAATAATTTTGATGGAATATGAAGTTCAGTTTCACGGGGATCCTAAAAGCGAGAGTTCTGAAATGGCACGAATTATCTGATTCTTTTATAACTCGAATTACCCGAATCAGCTTCTTCCCTTCCATAAAAAATATCATTCTTTGACATCCGACGAATTTTATTAGTGATACCGGTATTTCGTTTTCTTTACCTTGAATATTTTTCTCATTTTCTGTTACAAGAATTTTTCACATTTACAGAGACTTAAGGAAACACAATATACATAATGCATGAAGGATTATATCGCAAAAATAGATCTTGAGAAGTTGTGATGGATGGTTCAGTGATTCACGTCAAAACACATTCACGACGATGCATATGAACGAGCCTAACATTAACAATTATAAGAACAATATCAACAACAACAACAATAAAAACATCAACAACAGAAACTTCGGCTGAATATCAAGGAGAATGGAGCTCTCTCTCTTTCTCTCTCTCTCATTGGCAACATAACAAAAAACATTCAGGTTGAAGACTCTGAAACATGTTCACGTGTTATTTTACATTTTCTTTTATCCTCTATACCACTTATCGGCTCGTTAGCCGCTTGGGCGATCGGTCACGTCTCTGCTACGCACTGTTGGCATGTACTGGGCATGCACCGGCTCCTGAATGTACCTGAACCTGCTCCAGTGTTGGTCAAGTCTGGTCTTGAAAGAGCTCACACTCGGTGCCGTCACAACACTTTCTGGCAGGTTGTTCCAAGAGTTCACAACTCTCTCTCCGAAAAAGTTTGCCCTCACAGTTTTCTGGACTTGCGGTTTCTTCAACCTTGGGCTGTGACCCCTTGTGGGGCGAGCGTCCGCCAGCTCCAAGTAAGGACACTCAACTGAGTAGTGCCCCTTGAGATGTTTATACACCTCAATTAGGTCCCCCCTTGCCCGTCTGTAGTATAAGCTAGGCAATGCAGGCGCTCTAATCTCTCTGGGTAGCTGAGATGCCGAAGTCCCTAGCATATCTCGGGGACCAGACGGGGTGACAGCACTCCAGGCGGGGAAGCACCTCGCTCTT